AATTATTGGCAAATTAGAAGAATGTAATCGTCTCAGCTTTGACAGTGCTTGCTAGGGGGGAAATAAGCAAAGAATGTATTCTGTCTCAGCTCTGATTATGTTGGTTGATGTCCGTAATATATAATACGATTAAGAGTCAGGTTTGGGGAAAATTAAGTGTCTCAGAGCCACAATGGGAAGTTACTCAGTCACTTCAAGGAGCTGTCATCTTTGAGGCACCCCTGCTCATGACAGGGAAGTTGGACTAGATGATCTCTAAGGTCCCTTCCAGCCTATGCCATTTCATGATTCTATGATTGTTCAGAGAAAGTATTTGACTATTTGACTATTTGCTTGTTAGTAAAGGGGAAAGTTTGCAACTTCTGGTTTGTCTGTCTTGCCAGAGCCAGTAGTACCTATTATAATTATAATCAGACAAGATAGAAACAGATGTTGCCATTTAGGAGCTAATGGTAGTTGACTCTTCTCCAGCAGCAACCAACATAAATGCTTCAATGTAAAAGTAAAAGCAGCTACAACTTGTGCTGACACAACAATGGGGGTGACATTTCTTCCGAGCAGGAAATGCTGCTGAATGATCTACATCATGAAGCATGGAGGCCTTATATAGCTGTTCTAGGCAATGTAACAGGGAATGATATCCTCAAGGGAAATCTTGGGAAGTTCTACTTTGGTCATGTTCTCTCTTAGTCTTTTCCCTTGTGTACTTATTCATAGAATTCATAGAATTCATAGAATGGCCTAGACTGGAAGGGACCTTAGAGATCATCTAGTCCAACCTCCCTGTCATGGGCAGGGACGCCACCTCTTGACTAGTCCTGGCAACACATGGGGACCGAGCGGGAATCGAACCCGCAACCTCGGTGTTGTCATTGTTGTCAGCACTGCGCTTAAACCACTGAGCTAACCGGCCCCCTTCTTTTTATTTCTTGCTGCTTTTGAATGCTTGTGAACTGTGCTGCTTTGGTAAGCACGTAATGAGGTAGGAACGCCAGTTAAAGGAGGTCAAGCTCATCCTGAAATACACAGTGTGTGTCACAACATATGCTAACATCCCCAGCCACATGGCTGGTTGTGCCCACACTGAATACATGCATCAGCAACAAGGGAGACAGAAATGAGTTGATCATAAGCTTTCACCATATTTTCGTTATTTCTGTGGATGGGCTGGGTCTCATCTGAAAGAAAACTCTACGATCCCATGTACTGTGGGGCTGCTTCTATAACACCACCTAAAAGCCAAAGAGAGGTTATGTGGATGTGCTTTTGCTTGACTAAAAGGCACATAAGAGTGACCTCTTAGAGCTTTGGAGTTATATACAGCCCACTCGTATCCTTACATCCTTCCACATTTAAAATGTCAATGTACCTGGAAGTCACTCTCTTTAGGGGTAACATGCTCTTTTTTTCAGCTGGTTGCAGGCAGTGGTTATCTGACTTGCCGCTGTTGCCTCTGCAGGAGGGGTTGGTGTGT